CCCACTGAGGAGGAAGGGTACAGCAGAGATAAAGGGTAATGAACTGACTCCAACCCCCATTCCCCATCCCCCTGTGCGACTGGCAGGGAGGAGAGAGAGAAAATCGGCAGTGAAGTTGAGCCTGGCAAGAAGGGAGGGGTAGGGGGAAAGTGTTTTTAAGATTTGCTTTTATTTCTCATTACCCTACTCTGATTTGATTGATAATAAACTAATTTCCCCAAGTTGAGTCTGTATTGCCCATGACTGTAACTGGTGAGTGATCGCTCCCTGTCCTTATCTTGACCCACAAGCCTTTCATTGTACTCTCTCTCTCCCCTGTCCAGCTGAGGAGGGCAGTGACAGAGCGGCTTGGTGGGGACCTGGCACCCCGCCAAAGGCAACCTGCCAGAACACATGAGCAAAGCTGAATGTCTAGAGAATGGTGAGAACCTGTAGAAAAATATTACTGCCTGAAGATAGAGATTAGTAAAACCAAAATATTAGAGTGGGAAAATAGAGAGGGGAAAAAAAAAATCAAAGGCTTGTGAAATTCACATGAAGAACAAATGAGGCAGCCTTACTCAACTACAGATAACAGCAGACAAATCAGCTAGATTCCCAAGGATTAAGATGAAGGCATTTTATAATTATTTTGTGAAAGGTTAAGTAATATTCCCATTTACCCCTGGCAAAAAGATACCACAAGGAGAGGCTTTCCCAGGTTACTTTGAAATTAAAAAGAAAAAAGCTCCATTCTTCATCCAGCAACAAAATATACTTCACTTTGGCTTTGCTTTTCCTATTTTAATATTAAACCTCCCTCATCCATGTTGTGAAAAAAAAAAAGGGCATTTTATTGTCATTGATGTTGCTTTAGCTGTCCAAAAGAAAGAACTAATATGGTTTAAATCAATTACCATCCTGTCAGTTATTCATATCAGAAGTTACACTTAAGTGTACAAAGTATGAAGCCAAACAACTTGCATTCCATTGCCAAACTGTCTTGGCAAGAAGATACATTCACTACCCTTTGCTGTTGGCCTCCACAAGAAGACTCCTTGTGTCTCACACTTTCTGTTATTGCATTGCAAGGTGGATGGCTCTTATGTCACCATACTATTCTCAAACAAAATTTCACGTGAAGGCATTTTACATTCTCCCAGAAGAAAAGCCTTCAAACATAAATAAGTTAGGAACAGACTTCCTGCCTTCATTTCTTTTTCCATCAAGAAAATTTCCAGTAAATTCTGTATTTTCTGCAGAAACTCTCAACACGAATTACATGCATGTGATTTTCAAGGCTGGAAGATACATTAACTCCATCATGTAGCACACCACAAAAATCTTTGCCAACTCTCCAACTACCCCAGTTTCAAGTGGAAACTAGAAACTTCTCACTGCTGAAATTTGCTTTATCACATCCATGAAAAATCTACCCATCTATAAAGTTTTTTAGGATAATCTCCTCACCATTCAAACATAATCACAGTGAACTCTGTATTTAAAATTTAACAGAAAGCACTCCCATGATCTGTCTTCCTTTAACATGATGGAGTAGAACTGATGCTAAAAGATAAAGTTCCTTATTGACATATTTGTTCACATGTAGTCACCATGGCCAAGCATCAGCAGCGACAAGTCTGAGCTGAAGAGTAGTGCTGAAAAGAGCAACTTACTCTGAATGGTAAGTCAAGACTGAAACCTAGTTTGTGGAAAAAGGATGGAGAGAAGGCAGGATGGGAAGGCTGTGATTAGAAAGGGGAAGCAGCAGTGCATGCAGAAGAACTGCAGACCCACAGAACACACAGTTTGTAGGTGAGAAGGGCCAAGAAGACTGAGCAGACAAAAAGACAAGAGCAGGAACTAGACTTAGACCTATTGTGGGTGGGAGAAAGTGTGCTGGAGAGACGTTCTAGAAAGTCAGAAGGAGGGCAAAACACAAGAATATGGAGCAAGAGAAACAGGAAACTCTGACAAGAAGCCAGGATGACGGGAAACAAATGTTGAGGAAGTGTTTGTATTCCACGGGGACAGATCTGCTGAAGAACCAGATGAAACAGATATCTGTGATGATTAGTCCTGAAACAGGACTGCATGCAATAAATAAGGTCTATAGAAACAGAAAAATGAAGTTCATTAATGAAAGAGCTTCAGGAACAAATTATCACAACAATGCTACATAGGCAACCTTTATTCTGACAGTTCTTAACTTCTGAAAGGTAACCATAGTAACTTAATAAAGTTATTTTAAGGTAATTTCTGCCATATTTTTTTAAGTTTTAAAAACGTGTATTTTTTCTCACATACTATTTTACAATTAGCAAGGATAAAGAAAACGGACTCTGAACAATCACAAGAAAAACTTTAATTAAAGATTGTGGAGGTAGGGATAGAAAAGATAATAGAATCTTAATACAGGAAGAAGAGATTCTATACGCATTTCATGAAGTAGTGCACCATGAAACAATAACCTCCGCTCTGCAACTGAGAAGCACAAACACAAAGGCTAGAAGAAACAAAGAAAATAATTCAGTCAAACACCCAGAAAGTCTATCATCTGCAAAGAATTAAAAATTTGACTAATGGAAGACAACTATTTGACCTGCAGTTTGTTCCATGGCTAATCGAGCTACAAAACAGTCTGGATTCTCAGACAACACCATTGCTTCAAACAATTTGAAACCTTGATATTTAATCTTCTATCCTAAAGATTTTATAAATCCTAGTAAAATTATCAGAACATGGGATGTTTTAAAGCGTTTTGCTATTAGCTTACAACCACTAAACAAAACACCAAAAAAAGAGCAGGAAATGAAAGGTGTTGACTTTAAACTGTAAACGCAGTGATGAAGCAATAAATATCTGTGCACAATTTTTAACAACATGAATTAACACTTTAAAAATGGACAATGTGTGAATAGCTCAAAACATCTAAATCTGCATATGTACAAGTTTCTTACCAGCTACTGGTAAATCCAGCTTTGCTCGTTTCAATTCTGATATAGAATTTTGGAGCTGGTCTATTACAAAGTCATCTTCATAGAAGAAATCCTTGGCTAAAGACTCCTGCAGAAATTCTACAAGCTCTTCCATTTGTAATTTCATCAGATGCTCTATATAAGAAGAAAATATTATATATTAAAATCTCTTGATTATGAACATTGGCAAATGTACTTAAGATACTAGATGTTTTTCTTTTCAAAGTAGAATGAAAAACACTTATTAATTAAGCAGATAACAGAATTCTACACCAGAAAGCTATAAAATGCATTAAAAATTCACTTGCAAATCAGCATGGAAATGCTTTCTACTTATCATTCTCTACTTAGGACAATGTTTTCCAAGAAGGGGCATCTTCAGAAAACTAACTACAAGTCACCCTACTTGAGCTTTCTTATTTCCAACAGCTTCAGGTCTTTATTTTTCAGCTTGTATTCTCAACTTACAAAACTCTGCTGTAGATCTGTACAACATACGTCACCTCTCTTATTAAGAGCTTTGAAAAGTAGTAAAACATTTTTAGAACTGATATTTACAGAATCCTCATTCACAACTGAATTAACTTCCAATGAAACAATGATGGCAGTTCACACTTTAGAACCATTGCTTCAGGCTCTCTGAAAATTCAGGTACTTTTTTCTACCTCAATCAAATTCAGGTCATATTTTGAAAGTCATTTGACAGTTATCGCACTATTTTTCTTTCCTTTTTTTATATAGCAGTAAGGCCATGTTTCCCACACAAACCTATCTGGCTTGCAAGGCTGTAACAGCATACCCATGTAGCTTCTTTACACAAAGTATGCCATCAAAAGTTCCAGAATGTACAATTTCTATACAGAAACCATAAAAAAACAGTTTTTGCACAGTAATAAAAATTCTCTTGGCAGGTATTTCTCAATGGCACTTTGACTGGATAGCTATACCGTCAATGTTTTTAAGGGTAGAACAAGGGACTGGAAAACAAATCAGAAACCATCTTCTGCCACCTTCTCTGCCAGTCCTCTAATCTCCTCTCTGTTGCCTTAAGATACTCTTGGTGTTTTGATCATGGAGGAAGTTGCTACATACTTGCTAAGCAAGCAAACTTGCACTCAGACTTTTTCCTCAGGTCTTCCCATTAAAAAAACAGTAGTGAATAAAAAAAATTTTCAAGTAGAGGTCTATTTGCAAACAAAAAAGAGAAACCAAAATGCTAAGCCTAACGATTTGCCTCTAAATATTTAGCTTTCTCAAGTACAATAATTTAAAAAGTAACCTTTTTCATTTTTCAAAGCAGTTTATGGATGAACTAATGAATATACCCCAGTAAGACAGTGAGGTAGTATCACCACAGCTCAAGGAGGGTAAACTAGCAAGCAAATATAGACATCAATTCTGCAAGCTCCATGCAGACCTCTAAAATCACAAGAAGTTAAATGATTTTGCTAAGAAAGCCAAAGTTCCAGAGTAAGACTGTATCAAACTCAAGCTACAAGATATCATCCTGAGAAATGCTCAAGTATATTTAGAAACTAACACCCATCCTCAAAAGCTTTTTGGATCCTTTGGAATTCAAGGTGCTAAACCACTTTGGGGAACCAGGCTTTGAACAATTCTGTTCAAAATCTCAAATTTTACTTCACCCAAAGGTAAGAGATGGAAGAGAAGGCCACCATGGCAGACTACAGAAATTCTGAATTTTAATTACATTCTTGGACAAACAACAGTATAAAGACAGACACACACCGGTGATTCCTCCTTGCCGAGTTGTCTGTTGATAAGAGTTTCGGGTATTTAGTGGCATACCCTGGATTCTTTGTGCGCTTTTTTGATTAACTTAAATCCTGTAGGGGCTAATAAGCCATTTCCAAACCACGGAACGACAACATTTTGTCCCCATTGTTTAATCAGCAATACAGCTCATCTCATGTCAATGTTTAAGTAACTCCTACTGAAATAAATATTTCTGTTTGGCAATCACACTGTATTGGGTCTGGCTGAGATGGAGTTAATATTCCCCATAGCAGCCCTCATAGTGCTGTGCTTTGTCTTGGTGGCTGGAAAGGTGTTGATGCCAGCCCGGTGTTTTGGCTACAGCTGAGCAGTGCTCGCAGAGCATCAAGGCTGTCTCTCCAACATTGCCGCCCCCACCAGTAGGCTGGGGGTAGGCAAGATCTTGAGAGGGGTCACGGCCAGGACAGCTGACCCCAACTGACCAAAGGGATATTCCACACCATGTGACACCTGCTCAGCAATAAAAGCCATGAGAATGGAGGAGGAGAGGGGGCACTTGTTATTATGTCGTTTCTTTTCCAGAGCAACCACTATGGTAATGAAGCTCTACTTCCCAGGAAGCGGTTGGACATCATCTGATGATGGGAAGTAGAGCATAAATCTTTTGTTTTCCTTTGCTTCTCCGTGTGGCCTTTGCTTTTGCTTTATTAAACTGTGTTTATCCTGACCCACGAGGTTTTTTTCCATCTTTTCTCCCCCCATCCCTGTCCTGCTGAGGAAGGGAGTGATAGAGTGGCTTGGTGGGCACCTGGTGCCCAGCCAAGGTCAACGCACCACGTGCACACATTAGTAAAACAAAGATTTTTATCTTTTTGTGCATAAGGAAAGAAAAATACCCATCAGAAATAGCATAAGGCAAATAGGAAACTAAGATTTTCACACAAGGTCAAGCTACACTAAGAACAAAACCAGCTGAATCTCTGTTTAGCATTCAAATGTTTGAGAGATTTCTTACTTCTGTGTAGTTTTAGAATTGTGTAAGACATAGCAGTGAGAATCCGCTCTCCTTCAAGTATGTAGATATCCCATATCCTGAGGCTTAATGTAAAGGGAGTCTGCAATGAAAGAATCAGGCAACACTGTGAAAACAGTCTGTCGCAAATCACAATTAAAAACAGAAACAGAAAATGAAAAACATACTCACACGATCAAGGAAACACTGGAAAAACCACTTTGTTGTGTAAAAGCTAGTGGACATATCCTGGGAGTCCTGTAAAAACAGCAGAAGTTTAAAAATACTCACAAAAATCAAGTAATGCTTTGTACTGTCCATGAAAAAAACATTTTCACCCTGAGGTCAATGTACCTTATATTCACCATAAAGAATTAATTTAACTACATGAAACATTATTACTTCAAACCAACAAATACAACTTCTGTCTTTTATACTATCTCTTCATCAACTTCACCACCTGAAGAAACACGCATTTGGAGATGCCAAGGTATTAACACATCTTAGATCTCCATCTTATTCTTGGGACAGAGGTAGCAGAGGATTAAATCCTCTCTCAAGAAAATAAATCAATATTCTGGAGCAACCAAAGTTCAGGCACTGGGTCCATTTAAGTCTCTCACTTCTCTATAGCAAGGCTGCCAATTCATGCCAAAGGTTGAAAAGATTTTGTGACAAGAATATCTATCCACCAGAAACCAGCCTAAAACGATCAAATTCTTCAAACATAGGACCTCAAAACAGCACTTAGACTGACAAGGAATTTCATTCCGTAACTAAGAGCATAGATGGTCCATCTGGTATGTCACTCCATTCAAGGATGGCTAAAGCTTCTTTGCAGTTTCATGGTGCTCTTCAAAGTTTGTTGCACAGTTAGAGGAAAAGCCAAAGTAAAAGCTGAAAACTTAAGAAAGTCTGAACTTTAACATTGGGATAACATCATATTCTATGCTTGCCACACTCAGCTCTTCCAAAAATTTGAAGTATACAAACACCGAATAAGCAATGGACCAAATCCCTCTGGTTTACCTGCAGGCTTTACCTTCATCTTTCAGCGAGTTAAAATGGGCTCAGCTTAATGATACATTAAGAAATATGGAAAAATAATTCTTAACATAATTGAAATAATCTTTATGAGATTTTCATTTTGAGAGTCTTTAAAAAAAAAGCAGACAACAAAAACCACCTTGTTTTGAGATTTTTCTAACCTCTAAGAATGACCATCAGCCTACTGAAAGAGAGAGATAATGGACCATGCCTTTCCCTGATAAAAAAACCTGATTGCTATTAAATTTAATGCCACTAAACCAATGCATACAAAAGTAGAACTAAGTTCTGATTTAAAACTGAAAAGAAAAATATATAATAAATACATAGAGAGTGAATGGTTTGTGGATCCCTCTAAACAAGTGGCCAAGAACTCCCTCAGAAGGGAGCTATCAAAGCATTTTATTTAAATTAGCTTTTTCAGCTACTAAAGCAACTTTTTGCACTTTTCTGAAACTTTCTTTTTCAAGGCAGAGTAGGGGGAAGATGGGGGACAGATGACAGAAAAAAAAAGTTCTTGATTATTAAATGCAGTAAGAAGAGGTATATAAACAACATACAAAACTTAATAGTATGCCAGCCTTAGGTTGTATCACCTCAATCACATATAATTATTTTTTCATTTTTAGAAAGTATAAGGGCCTTTTACTATTTGCTGTTAAAACCATCCAATCTTCTTGGGATTATCCTGTATTTGTTCCTGAAACATGACAACCTCAAAAATGAGAGTAAGACTATATTTCTAAACAAGAATCATCATCTTGCATGTCCTGTAAAAACTAAATCCACAACTTTCGTTTCAGAGCCAAGTTAGTTTCAGAACTGGTCTTGATTTTTTTTTTTAATATGATAAAATCATCTTGCATGACTAATTTTGACTCGACCTTTTAACAGAAGAGTGTTTTTTTTCCTAACCACATCTGCTTATTTCAGTGCTGAGCAGGTCTTACAGCATGTTGTTAAAAAAAGACATTAAATTCTATTTTATAATACAACAGGCACACATTAGATGTAATTCATCATTGCTAAGGTCTGCTCCCAAATTGTCTTTTTTTCTTTTTCTAAGTAGATAAACATACCAAACAGAAAATAATATAGTCCTGGGAAGGTAACGTTTGCAAGCAGCTATCATTCTTAGAAGATGTTGCTGCAACTCAGCATCTTTTACACTACCTTTTAAGACTTGAAGATGGATTCTGGCAGAACTAATGTGATTGTAAAAGAAAATTATTGATGACTGTTTGAAAGTCATTTTTTCCCATTAGAAAAATAGTTTGTTCCTTAGAATAAATACAGCCAATATTAGCAAAAAAATAAAGACCATATTATTTCCTATTTAAGAGCATTAGAAGAGATAACACTCAACATTTAGCTTCATGAAAATACTGCTCAGTATGTGCAAATTTTATAAGGACCATTAAGTCCTCTTATAAAGGTTATTTTTTAAAAAGAGATTAAAACTGGTTGGTTGCACAGCACCTCTGTCCAGAGATGAGCCACAAACCCATACATACAATAAACTCTTGATAAAATGTTTTAACATCAGCTTGCTATACAGCAGTTTGCACAAGGCCAGGCAGAAGCACCACATATATTCCTTAACTCAGAGATCAAAAGTGAGACAGACATTCAATTTAATTACTCTTAGGATACAATTTTATCATAACTCTGCCAAGGTGCACCATAACTTTGTCTATAAAGAAAACAACAGCACTTCTGCCTCTTAGAGCTTTGCATTTTTTTCCGAGGGTTGAGGTATTCTTAACCTAGCAGGTTAACCTGAACTGAAAGGAGGTAGCCAGTTGTATATTAGTATTTCTTTTATTGCGACAGAAATACTTACCAAATGCTGCTTAAGTTTGGACAAAAATTTTTTCAGTATTTTGTCATGATGTTCTTGAAATCTCAACAGTTTTGGAAAACCAGGAATAAAAAAACCTAAGAAAAGAAGTTGACGGTGTAACAGGTGTATGTACTACAAAAACGACATTAAAAAAATGCACTCAGAGCTCTGAGAACATTATCCTTCTATAAGACCACTGGATCTGAGCAGATACTCATAGCAATATTACGATGTCCACATACAGATATGCATATACTCCTGCCTAAATGACTACAGAAAAACATCAATATGCTCCCTTAGTGACTATTACTAGGTTAGTAATGGTAGATGACAGCAGATCCATCAGTCCTACATCAGTCTATCCACTAAAAATCATGGTGAAACAAAATTTATAATTATTCTTTAAAAAAAAAAAAAAAACCAAAACAAAAACACCACATACAAAACCCCACAACCCATACCAACTTTTAAAAGCAAAACGACATAAATCAGCATTATGCCCAGCACATTCATGATAGAAGGGTAAACAGCACAGGCAGCTACTAGAATGGTCTGCACTGAAGAAAAGACCATAAAAAAAAGACAAGAGGGATACTCTACCAAGACAAATATCATTAATATATAGTATAAAATTATGAGCTCACACAACTAAAACTAAGGGTATATAAAAAAAAAAATCTTGAGTAGTTTTAGTGATCATACACTGCAAAAGGAAAGCACTAAGATCCCCTTCCAATTAAGTTATCAGCAGAGTTAAAAACAAGGCTCAGAGCAAACACATACTAGCCAAAAAACTTGAAACATAAAGGAAAGCTAGCACAGCAACACAGCAGGAAAAGAAACCATTCAAAGAATATCCTTCAAAAAGCTGAAGCTGTGTTCAAATCAGAACCCAGACATGATCAAACACTGGCAGTATAAAAATGTGAGAAAGCAAGTCTTCCCCAAAAAAAACAACTTACAAGAGACATTAAAAAAAAAAAAATACTAATAGACCTATTTTCAAACACCTTGGAAGCAGAAAGGCTGACATAGAATTTGTAGGTTTAACAGTTTGTGAAGTTTTTTAGAAGTGCTCAGAGAAGATGAAGTCAATACTAAAAACAAGTTAAATTTTTGTATGGAAGACACTAGGGAGGTTCCCAAGTCAGAAGCCAAAACAACTCTAAAAGAACTCAAAGACAAACCAGCTGAAACATCGATTCTATGAAACCTCTTGCTTAAAACACCAGGAGTCTGGAAAGTGGCTGACATGATGTTTTTCTTAAACTAGTTTTCAGTCCAGTATCTGTCCAATATTCAGGTCAATACTCTGAGAAGAAACCAACAGAAACCATAATAAAGAAAGCTGGGGTAAGTGGACGTCCAGATAGATGCAATGCAGAGAAGAATCAACATGGTTTTTACAAACAGGGGTCACGTCTCTTAAATCTACTGGGCTTCCTTGAAGAAATCAGTGAGTGTGTAGGCACACAGGGCAGTGGATATTGCCTAGCTGACTTTCCAAAGGTACTTAATAGGTTCTATCACCAAACTCGCTTCATCTCTTCAGTCCACCTCCTAAACCCGTTAATCCAATTAATTAAAAGACAGTAGAACAAAAAAGGAAAAAGGCTTCACCCATGAACTTGCATAAGAGTTTGTCCTGAGACTTAAGCTATTTGACAGGTGCCATGCATCCACACTGTGAACAATTAGTCAAGTCCTAGCCATCCTAAAAGAGTACTGGAAAATCTGGAAAAGGCAAGAAGTTGCAGAAATTATCAACCACTTCTGTGTCAAGAACAGATAAAAATGCTATGTCTGATCAGCCTGCAGTAAAGAAACGGCTAAGGGGAAATACCACCAAGTACCACCGGTGAACACATTACAATCATTAACTGTCTTCTCTAAGGCAAAATCCAGAGGGCATCATCAAGAAACCATCATGTGGCAGAGTCAAAACAAAAGTGGAAGAACAATCCACAGTCAAACGCAATGAATTATTTAAGGAAGAAAATTCTATTGGAGATTATTAAAGACAAAACAAATTTTCATCTCAAGAAGTTCCTCCAGAAATTCTTTCAACCTCTAACACATTTTCCAGGAGGTATTAATCTTTGGTTGCCTTATTCTCAGACGCTTCACTGAGCATCTGTTGTTGGTCACTATCAGAGACAGGACACTGGGTTAAATAGGTCTAGTACAGCAATTCCATATTCTTAGGATTAAAAAAAGGCTACAAAAAACCCCAGCAGTCTTTACCTGTGAATGCTAGGCAGTATGGAAAATAGAACAAGAAGTATGGGCCCACAGAACACATGCCACTCAAAAAAAAAAAGCAACATAAGAACCACTAAAAAAAGTCCTAAACCAGAAAGCAAGCTCTTTCTAGTTACCAGTTTGCAATTCAGTGCATGGCCACTAAGCTACAAGATTTACTGTCTCAGATTCACAAAGGTTTAGTATTTCATAGATACAACTGCACATTCTACCATATTTAAATGTTAGCTTGCACATTAAGAAATTTTACTAATATAGGCGAGGTGTTTGGTTTTTTTCCTTAATGTAAACAGTTAATGACTACATCAAAGCTAATTAGCCATCATCAATAACATTCAAAGGTGCTTCTTCCATGGAAAGTTGCTCTTCCAATTTATATACACCAACTTATTACCTTGAATTTTTAAGACTACAGAAAGACAAATGGAAAGACCTTTCAAAAACCTCGGTAATTTTCAGGGTCAGATACCTGCATTTTATCGTTTAGAGACTTCACATCATCCATACAATATGAAACATCAGAGAGGCCAAATGCATCCCTTGATTTCAAGTAGTGTCATTCTAGAAATTAGTCTGCCTATGTATCTGAGACACATGGGTTGCACCCAAAAAGCATTCCAGACTTCCAGATCACAAGTAGAAGAAAAAAAAACAGATTAAAAGCCTTGTCGGGACACACGCACACACACACACTTCTAATCTTCCTGCTCTTGTCAATATGACTCTAAATTACTCATCCCACTCCTATAATTTCCATAGAGAGATGCTCATTTCAGAGAACTGTCTGATGGTCAGTGTCATCAAGAGTAACTATAGAAGTTTCCCTTCATGAATATCATCAATTTAGAATTAAAATTATTTAGGCTTTTAAAAGTTGGCAAACAGTGCCTGAAAGTACTTTCCTGAAAGAACAACACAGGAAAAGTGCAAACAGTTATATGACATCAGTTAAGGCAGTTTTGAAGTTTCCCGTCCAGAATCTGCAGTGATATTTACAATAAAAATGCACTGTGGCATAAACTCATTTAAAACATATACATTCAAAGAATCACAGGAAATCTCGGTTGGAAGGGACTTCCACAGATTATCAGGTCCAACCTGCTGAAAGCAGGACCTTAGATTGAGTTGGAAACATTTATTAAATGATAAACTGGGAATATCTAAGTTATAATTAAGGGTTTGTCCACTTATCTATAAATGCAAACTTCCTTAACCGATGTTGCCAAGACAGTTTCGATGTGTGTATAAACCTGTGGCGTGATGGTTCGTATGCCCTGTGGAGTAACTCGTCAAGCCCTGGGCTACTCAAAGTTCACTCCTTCCCTCTCTAATCATTTAACAGGTGCGTGTTCTGTAACTGAGGGTGGAAAGGAGAAGGGAAGGAACGGAGGAGGGAGAGGGGGAAATCTGAATGGAGTATTCAGTAACAGCTATGCAGGCAGTGCACAGACTCCCATATGTACACAAGTGACACATCTGCCTGTGTAAGTCCATCATCAGCTACCAGATGAACCCTCTCGTTCATCATAGCAAGTTCAAATGATGACTACAAAACCCAGCTTGAGAAATTCGTGTTAACAGTTCTCCATTAGGATCACATTCCAAGTTTAGGACTCTCTCCTGTTTTAAAAAAGGTGACATGGACAAAACACTAAGACATAAAATCTGGAAAAAGATTTAAAATCCTGTTTAACAGTCTACGGCATCTTAAAAGGGCAACTATGCCCATGCAAAGCTCCCATGTATCAAAACCAGATCAACTGATTTGGTATATAATGAGTTGATTTAGACTTATTCTCCAAAATTTTTAACATTTTCTATGCCCTTTGAGGAGTTTAATATTCTACGTAGTTGTATTTGCACAGTCGTAGTTGCATAGCTCTTATTATTAAATCTATAGATTTTTTTTGTAAGACGCTTTCAGTCTACTAGCATTGTGTAAAGCTCCAAGCAAGTCTTTGACTCTTGATTACTTCAAAATTTCACTTATGACACTGATCCTCAAGTCAGACTGCATTTTTTTTTAAAAAAGGCAGTAGCTTTGCAGAAGTATAAACAGAAAAATAATCAACTAGCACTTCATCTTGGAGGTGAAGAACACCCAGGAACACTGAAAGCCAGGGAATGAAAATATCACAGTATGAGAAAGGCTTAAGCAGGGAAAAAGAGCTAGACTTTGTTGGAAATTTGCTAAAAAGCTCAAGTTCTAGCTAATATTTACTTTTTCAGGCTTCCAAGAACTACAGTTTTTCTGAATCACCCCATCACTAATATCTACAAAAGATGCTGGAATTCCTGGAGTTATTCCACACCAGTAGCCATGGAATATTCATAGATCATAGTAAATTTGGCATGGAAAGAGAGAACTACCAATAACATAAAAGTAACAAGACCGTAAGAGCAGGAAATGCCGTGTGAGGCAGAGATAAAACCAAAAAATACAAAGTTAATGCCGAGATACAAGTCATTTTTTTACTATAGATTCCTGTCCTGCCAGGTGATAGCACAAATGCAGTATTATTTAACACATTCTGTATTAGATTCCCACTACTATTTTATTGCGATATAGATGTCTACATAACCAGCTTTCAACTGGTTACATTCCCTGAGAGATTAAGATGAAAGGAAACCATTTGATTTTCATTAAGAACTATTTGAAAGATATCACATATAAAAACAATTACTTACGATCACAGGTGAGAGCTCCAGTAACATCTAATAGTCCCCCAGTATAAAGCTCCTATTATGTCTTATTTTGACTATACAGACAGAATAGCATAGTTGCATTTTCAAATAATTTACAACTTCAATAGGGCGGTTTGAAACCTAATATATACTAAGGGACATGAAACTCCATACCATGCATAGCATGCTTTGGACCAGAAAGAAGTTTCACCAAGGCCCAGAAGGCATCCTCTTCATTCATGTACATAAGGAGTAAAGCTGTGATCTGGCTCATTCCCTGACAGTATCCAACTTCCTGAAAATCAGACAATGAAAATATTAAAATGCTGAAAACAAAAGCTTCAGAGCCACGAGCTCTTAGTTTTTCCTTGAGCTAGTAGAGGAAAGAGGATACCTGTCCTGATGGCATACGTTCCCTAATGATGACACCACCAAATGCACTTAATATTTAAACATTTAAAATACTGATAGAAGGGATGATGCACAATCCTCAAACTGAAAAATAAACTGCAAGTCTTGATTGTTCATTAGAACTCTACTGATGCACAAAATCCTTGTCAGTACCAATAATTTCAAGTAACTGTATCATCTTATTCTCTGAGTGGCTGTGTTTTCCATTTAGTTGTAATTTGGTTTTTTGGGGGGGAAGGGGGGTTTACTTTTGCTTTACAGTCAGGGCACCATCTGATAAACACAGGACTTTTCAAGAGTGATGTATAACTATAAACCTGCTCAAGTGTAGCAGCCCATAACAAGCAGAAGTAATAAACCCAAAGAAAAAAATTTTGTTGTTCCAAAACTGAACTTGAGTATTTCCTCTGCTATTAAGTTTTACTTTTATGGCAGGAACCAACTGTCACTATCATTTAGCTGCTCAGATAACCCCACTGATAAAGTATTTGTAAGGACAATGACTTAATTGTTGAGTAAGTTTTTTCAGGTTTACAAGTTCTTAGCAGAACTTTGCTCTAGAGATAAAACCAAAGCATACAAAAAAACCAACTGCTATACATTAAGAGGAAAAATGTAACAAAATAAGTGCAAAATAAAACTCTCATTGCAGTATTTCCATTGTTACACTTTAACAGTTGATTCTAAACAATATTTTTCACGCAACTTGAAAATACTAGACCAATGTTCTATAGGAGACATGTAAAGGTCATTCCAGAGTTTTATTTCTCGGTGTGTCATGGTTGCTTATAAAGAAAAGCTTAAGACAACATAACAAGTGAAAGACAACAAATTCCAGCAATATAAGTTCTTTTATGGGCCAACAATTGTGAGGAGACAGAAACTGAAACAGGACAGAAAGGCTACATTTCCTAGAACTTTGAAAAATGAAACAAAGTGACATTTAATTAGAGTAAGTGTCTAATTTCACTTTCTTCTTCTTCTTAATTTTACATATTTTTACATTGAATTCTACGGACCTACTGATGGATACAAAATCAAAGATGTACAAAAATCACAGAACCATAGAATAGTTTGGTTGGAAGGGACCTTTAAATGTCATCTAGTCTAACCCCCCTGCAATGAGCAGAGACATCTTCAACTCAATCAGGTTGCTCAAAGCCCCGTCCAACCCGACCTTGAACACTTCCAGGGATAGGGCATCTACCGCCTCTCTGGGCAACCTGTGCCAGTGTCTCACCATCTTCATCGTAAAAAACTTTTTCCTTATATCTTCTCTGAATCTGCCCTCTTTCAGTTTAAAACTATTACCCCATGTCCTATTGCTACATGCTCTGCTAAAAAGTCCCTCCCCAGCTTTCTTCTAAGTACTGGAAGGCTGCTCTAAGGTCTTCCTGGAGTCTTCTCTTCTCCAGGTGGAACAACCCCAACTCTCTCAGCCTGACTTCATAGGAAAGGTGCTCCAACACTCTGATCATCTTCGTGGCCTCCTCTGGACTCGCTCCAAGAGGTCCATGTCCTTCCTGTGCTGGGGACCCCAGAGCTGAAGGCAGTACTGCAGGGGGGTCTCACCAGAGCAGAGTAGAGGGGCAGAATCCCCTCCCTCGACCTGCTGGTCACACTGCTTGTGATGCAGCCCAGGACACGGTTGGCTTTCTGGGCTGCAGGCACACATTGGTGGACCATGTTGAGCTTCTCGTCAACCAACACCCCCAAGTCCTTCTCCTCAGGGCTGCTCTCCATCCATTCTCCACCCAGCCTGTATTTGTGCTTGGGATTGCCCCAACCCATGTGCAGGACCTTGCACTTGGCCTTGTTGAACTTCATGAGGTTCACGCAGGCCCACCTCTCAAGCCTGTCCAGGTCGCTCTGGATGACAGCCCTTCCCTCCAGTGTGTCGACCGCACCACACAGCTTGGCAAACTGCTGAGGGTTTGTATACAGTAGTAGTATAAAAACTCCAGCACAGCACAAATTCATTATTCTTATTAGACACAATACTTAGTTTCAGTCGAACCGTATGCGCTGTTCAGTCTATCTAATAAGGCACTCATAATCAAGATGCTTTATTTTAACTTTAGCTCAAAACATGTCAACAAACAAGTAATTTATTTCTATGCACGTCCAAAGGTGTCTGAAATGTTTGTTATGGGTTTTTTAGGGAGAAAGAAGACACAGAATTGCAAGTTATTATCTTATGGCACGTTCAGAGAAACCATATTTAAGTGTGAAGGTACACAACTTACCGTATTATATATGGAATATGCAGCTAAAACATGGAATAAAGATTGTTGCCTGGAGAAATAAGAGTAGAAAAGGAAAATACTATAATATTGTCTTTTGCAAAAACAGAAAAACACAAAAGTAGTGAACTATGTTTTGGAAACCTGTTTCCCCAATTTAACTTGTCTAGCATTAAAGAACAGGTCAAACCACACTTTACAATGATATGCGCTTCTGATTTCGAACTAACATTATATTTAGCACTTTTCTGATGTTTTATATGTTGAAAGGTTTCAAAAAATACCTATAATACTTTGAGAAGGCAACGGTGTCGGATCATCATTTTTACAGACAGGTAAAGTGAAACATAGGATGGGCTACATTGCAAACACGGATTTCTCTGAATGCCAAACTTTAAACAACCCAGACCTGATTTCTGTGCTTGCAGAACATCAACAGTTGTTACTAATTTCAAACAGATGTAGAAGAGTTGAAATACAAAGCAGACACAAAGGTGTCTTTATCTTGGCATCCAAATTAAAGGCTGCTTTACTGACTGCTACTGTCAAACTGAAGAAAAACACCACCAACTCTGATTCGCCATCCTATGCTCAGTCGTCCAGAGTGTACTGATCTCCGTGTACTTCAGAGTTAGAATTACAAAGAGTTTTGTATAGGTCCTTTGCCTTCCATAAAAAGTCTAACTTCTGAAGGTAGCAAGACCATTAAAAAAAAAAAGAAAAAAAAAGGGGAAAAAAACAACCAAACAAAAACAAAACAAAAAAACCCCCCACCAACCAAAACAAAAGCCTGTTCTTCTCAAATTGGGATATCAAAGTAATAGTGAAGAGCTCTCATAATGAACTTTTAAACTCATACCTACCTTTTGTGACTTGTTGGGGACAGAAATTGGAAACCTGATTGCCTACTTTCATCTACAACAAAAACTGCTAACATTTAACTGCTGAGTTTTGTATACTGTCCTTTTTCTGTCCAGTGAAATTCCCTCTGCCTTCCACTAATCAAATGAATAGAAATAGATGTTAGCACGTTAAAAAAAGAAAGCATAAGGAAAAAGCTGAGTATTTTCTATTGGGAATATAATGCATACTCAGAGAATTTTTCCAAAACATCTAGATTATGCCATTTTCGTTTGCCCCCTTGCAGAACTGAAACTTAGCCATTCTTCAGTAACCAAAGTAAAACATAATCTAAACTACTAGATACTAAGTTGTAGTCTTGTATTACAAGAACAAACTAAAAGGTCCCAAAGGTACACAGGAACCTTCTGTATCTTCAGTTGACCACATGAAACTGAACATAAGAGCTAGATCTCATTCATAGTAAGAAACACAAAATAATGGTAATTTTACTACTCTTCACACTAGATGATACCACTAAAGACCTGTAAAAGAATGAACCTTCAAAGACATACAGTCTACTTAAAAGTCAAACAAGCTATTGATTTACCCAAGGGACTTAACTTCATTGCTATGTGAAATGATTTCTGAATTTTTCATCGAGGCATCACTGGAAATGCATAATATATGTGCAGTAATTCCAAGATCTATTCCAAGTGTGAAATTGCTTTATGCAGCCAAAGGCTTTCCTGTGGGCTCTGAGGGCACACTTACAACACAGCTACAGGGACTGGAGCTGGCTCTGCTTGTGTTAACCCCAAATTGATGAGGAAGCAAGCTTCTGCTAACACTTAAAATGTGTGCATAAAAACTAACTGAGGCCCAGAAGCAACACAGTCATTTTTGCATGGCACTGTGTCAGTGCTATCAAGAGATGAGGCACGTCAGCTCAAGCATAGATAGCACTGCACAAATATATCTGAACTACAATGGCTGCACAGAATAGCTCTCAGCTTGGGAATTTCTGCTTTGTACTCCATCCTGTGTTGCAGTCATCAGAGAAATTCCCCTAGAATTTTTGTTTTATTATCACATTAAAGTTGAAAGCTCTTTGAGTATTGCTTTTTGAAAATAGCACACTACTGTAGAATCTGCCTTGGAAAGAAAAGGAGATTAAAAACTGAACTAATACAGTCACAGAAGGTAAAAAAATACCCTATTCATCTCAGCAGGGTGCTGATGCTGCAAGCTAGCTGATGTTCGTATCACTATTTATTTTATTATTAAGCATTTTTAAGGATGACAGCTGCCTAATATTCCCCATCCAATGACAGTAAAAAAAACCCCAAACTATAACATTTTGAAGAAGTCCAAAAGCATTAAAGCCTACATTTGTAAATAATTAAATGCTCACATATAAAATACTGTTTTATTTGGTTCTGAATTAGATACTAGGAGAAGAGGAATATAAAATCCAAAGGAACGCTGAAATCTCTGGGAAGATAAAAGTTATTAGAGATGCAAAAACTTATTTTGGTTTTGAAAATATATAGTTAAATAAAATGATTGCATAATAGATCTTAATTAATTTATTAGCTTGGAATTCCCATGCTTTTGTATTTACAATATCTGAGACACTTTTTATTAAATATGAAATAAGATGAAAACAGTTTAGAAATTGTTTTTTTTGGAATGCTACTGACCACCTCATAGTGAGGGAAAACTGTTTGGAAGTGACCATCTGGTTTTGCGGTAGTAACGGCAATTATATCACTGCACATAGACAATCCTGCTTTGAAAGTTTGGAGTTTACATTCAATACACTTGCATAGGTTGAGGCAGATCAGAAGCCAGCTTTATGAGAAGCAAAACAAAGCCTTTTAATTTACTTACTTAACACCGTATCTGTCTCGAAACATGATATGATCTCTGTATGTTCGATTTACATCAAGATCAATTTGCCTAATATCTGGCGAAGACCCTCGTGCTTGACACTTCAATTTCTGGGAAAACAGTAAAGAACAGAAATTAAGTTTAAAATTGTGAACTCTAAAATAGCAGAAAACCCGCCTGACTGTATACCTGTATTAAAGCATTTGCCATCTAATGGTTTAAACACTTAATATAGAATAGCAGCTCACAAGGTAACGATTTTAACTTCCAAAATATGCATATACATATATAAATTCAATAGAGTCAGACACAGTGTCACACAGTATAGATGTAAAAAGACTAATCCCATAATACACATTTTTGTGACACACCATTCACTTCCCATATTCAAGGCTATGTTTCAGCTTTTCAAATTTCTAATTGCCATTTCTCAGGTAGGCACGTCACTGAAGACAGACAGAAAGTGAATTTGACCACTCAGGAACAAGAACCTAAGATGCAAGGGCTCCAGACTGGACTTTTAGCAAATAATTTAGTGTGGTTTTCATACTTTTCCCTTTTCTATAAGCAGAAGTAATAACTACATACGTGCCAGCTATTATCTAAGTATAGATAATGGACATTTCTCTAGTCATTTCCTCTTTCTTTCTGTTCTAATCTAATTCAGTTGTAGAATACCTCTACTTTAGCACTTGATTTAACATTTTATAATTAAATCCAATTTTGCAATTGAATACTTAGGAAGCCTGCGCAGGTCAGATTGCCATCTTATTTTTTGCACTTAGAATAATTTTCTCTTGACGGTCATTCATTCATTCTCACTTCTGTCCCTAAAAGGTGAGTCTGCAAGACATTTCTAACTGGATTCAACATGGTATTTTCAAAACATTACATCTGAGTAGGCTTTATTAGAGAATACCACAGAATCAAAAGGTAGAACTCTACGGATCCTGGTTTCAAGAAAACAAAAAGGTTTAAACAGAAAAATAAGAAAAACAACGGGATCAAACAGGGAAAAATAACATCCATTCAGTCTGTTGAATACACCCAGAAGCTTCAAGCACATCAGGAATTACCTGTAAGTCATTGAACCAACTGGTGGCAGACGTTAACCAACACAACACTAACCACAATCTCAGCTCCGTGCACCTTTCAGTATAATTTAAAGTATAATTTAAAGTACTAACATCCAGAATGATCTCTCCCCCACACAGACAGAAAGGAAGCAAAGAGAAAATTCATAGTTTTCAGGTGGCATGAGGACATAGAGCTCATGTTTTGTTGGACTATAGGAAAAGAAGCACCCTGAGTCCTTGCCATCATGGGAGCTTCCAGCATGAGTGAAAAGAAAGGGTACCTAGAGTTTGAGAAATGGAAAAGGCAGAAGATTAAGAACTGGTAACTGCCCTGCACAGAGGACTGAAAGAAGCTGTTTGACCTGCAGCAAATATGCACATTTTCCTTCTAATTTTAAGGTGTGCAATTTCTAAGTGACACTTGTAATGAGGAGTGTTAATATCACTTCAGGAAATGGGAAAAATGGAGAGCAGTAAAATGAGCTTATCACGAATGAACAAGCTAGGATAATGATGGAAGAAACTCCTTCTGCTCCTATACCTGAACTACAAACACTTCTTTGTTTTGCATTGAGCACTAGATGGCATTAATAATTTCCAACGACGAATTCGGAATTTTTAAATGCTTCTAGTTTTACTCAGTATTCTTTCCCACAACTACATTATTCAGCATGAACTCTGTTTTATCTCTTTTGGATTTGCCACTAGTCTTACTTACGAAGTTAAACAAAACAAGTCAGAAAGAGCAGCCTGTCAGACTAAAGAGCAATAAATAATTTAAGAGGAAGACCACAGACACCAAAACTTAGATAACATCAATGCCAACATTGATCTTCTTTCATGACCTTACAAGATTCCTTGTCAACTCAGACCCAAAGTCTCAGCTCCAGAAAAGTGTAATTAGAAAACGCCAAAAATCAAACAAACAATGCATTTCCTTGAAACTCTGGACACTCTCTCTTTAAAAGGCAGTGAACATTTAAATTCTTACGGGGAAAAATTCAAAAACTTTGCAATACTAAATTGCCTTTCTGTTAGCTAAACTCTCCCTATAATCCTTTAGCTGAGAGAGAGACAGAGAGGAAAAGACAGACATTTAAAGGATTCCATTCCCCTTCTGCCTAGCTTACTAGCCTGCACATGAACCTTATCTCCTCTCATGGGTCTGAAGTTTAGTCTGATGGCCATCAGCTGTATTCACACTCACGGAAAAAGTAGAGTTAGTAGGGAAAAATTTAGAGGAACATAACTACAATAATTCAGAGGTTGCTTTAACTGCTACTCAGGGTGAGAATGGGGGCTCGGGTGGGGGGCGGGTAACACAGCTATTTTCTTTATATTCTAAGTAGGAGATATGCTTAAGTGGTCGATTTATGCCTGTAGAATTTTGTGGGGTTAACATCCTGTCATCAGTTGCACCTCTGAGAATACAATCCAGTAACCACACAGTGCTTTGTAAGGGTTATCTAAGCTTCACTTGGAGATGAGATGGCAGAAAGATACACAGCTTGTTCTGGCTTTTACAAGATTAAGGCACCAACCTCCATCCCCTCCAGAATACTGGAACTCCTTTTATCAATATTCAGCTAACAAGGTGCTTCCTTAATAGACATTTCGCAAAGAGCTGTTTCAGAGGTTTCTGTCTTCTTACCGGGACAGTGTTTTTTTGTTATTTTGTTTTACTTTGCTTTTAGAAGGGGTTTTGCAAGTATTTAAGGATGGGAAAAGAAATGGAGAGAAGACCAAATTAATTCCATTAATTACAGAACCAATAAATAAGCTGGAAAAGCCCTTTTCAATCCATACCCTTTTTACTAGCTAAAACAAGCAGTAGAGTTCAATGCAATTTCTAATCCTTTTTTTTTTTTTTAAACACTACATAACAACAAATAAAAAAAAAGTCTGTAGTCTTAGTATCTTGATTTTTTTAATTAAGTGGAAATTCTACAAACTCACATTATAAAAATCTTTCATTTCTTCTTTCATTTTAGGGACATCAAGTAGTAAAGACCAGACTTGCCCTCTGAACTGCAGTGGGATTCCTTTATAAATTCTCCTATGAAACTGTAAAAAGAAAAGAAAATATAAATGCAGTACAATCTACAACGTTCTGAACAAAAGGAACAGTGACACACAACATACTAAAGAGACAAATGCAATTTTATCAATTGTCCTAGCAAAAGGATGACCTGCTGGGGACAAAGTGTTCCAGTGTCTTCTGAAGGACTGAAAGTGTCCAGTGACACCATCTGGGACCTCTGTTGATGGAATCAGCAGAGGCACAGGGAACAAAATGGACACAGAGGCTAAAATATCACTCTGTGCAGGTGATGCTTCCAAGCCAGGACTTTAGTATGTAGGAAGGCCTATCAAAATTCTATCAACTCTGCTGAGCAGCACTTATTCTACAAATATTGGAAAGACTATTCCAAATGTTGTAATTTAGACCTAAAAAAAAAAAAAAAATCTGATTTTTAGCAACACAGTATTTCAGGATAAGCCACAGACCACTCACTATAATTACAAACTATAAATGGGAATGGTGAAAGGCAATCAGCAATATCACAAAGCTTTAAAGATCACCGGAGGGGGGGGGAAGCAAGACAGATTTTTGAATCCTTGTAAAACTGCAACAGTGTGCTGAAATGTATGTATGCATACCAAACAAACATGCGAGATCATCAAAAAACACAGGATGAGCCATTTCTAAAGCTAACAGATTTCAGATCATATTTCTGAACTAATAATCAGTTTTCTAAATGCATATTAAAACATTCGTACAAAAACGACATATAAAAGATATTCTAGCTACAGTTTCTAGGAATACAGAACAACCTACCAACACTGCATGCAATTCTTAGCTGTGAAACAGAAAATTAAATACCCGATTCCTCACACATTCTGTTCTGACACCTAAAGTTTGTATCAGAAACAGGTCAGAAGGGGTAACTCAGTACCTCTGCCTAACTACAGTCATTACATAAAATATCAGTCTTGCCTCTGACAGGTCACTGCTCTTGCACTCTCATCGAGTGGTTTGGTTCTTACTGGGTTTATATGAAAAAATCAGGAGCACTGACAACTGTCTTCCTCAGTTCTCTTCTGATTTGTATCTCTTTATGCTGCAACGTTTAGGAGCATGAAGAGCCTCTAAACAGAGAAATATGGACTAGCTGTGTAAAGTCGTAGCTTTACGCAGCTAGGGGAGACTCGAGCTAAGCAATGCCTCAGAGCAATTGAATCCTAGCAATTCAAAAACACACCAAAAAAGTGTTACCATCTTTCACGAGACATGTCTAAGAAAAGGAAAAACAGAGAACTCTAACGAAGACGACAAACCTTTCTGAAGTTCTGTTTGTACCGTTATTTTTATGATGGCACAGGGAGACAAGCAGATTTAAAAGCGAACAAAATACACACAACCTCTCCCCAAACACTTCATTCTTTACATTTAACCTACAGTGAAAGTTAGACCTTAAAATTTCAATTGACAAAGCTATCACTTCCTTGAAACATTTACAAAAGTTGTATTTGTAGTGTAAGAAATATTTTAAAAGATATGTACTCCTCAAAGACAGAATCCTTTTTCCTTTTTCACATATTTCACATCTCCAGTTTTGAAGATTAATGAATCCCTCATTGCAGTATACTTGCAAACCTCCTGCTGCTTATGATATATCAGATCTTTGAAGGCGTCTTTAATGCCAGCAAGGATTCATGTCTGAATTTTAGAATGCATAACTCTAACATAAGTAAGGTTACAACTTTTTTTCCTGTCCCCTCTTCAAATGAAAAATTTCAACTTGCATAAGATGCAACAGCAATCCTGAAGGCTGTCCACAAAGAAAATGTTGTGTTTTTTAAAGAAAACTTTGCCACTTTAATATTATTAAGAATGCTAAAGCAGCAACACTTCTAGTGTGAGCACAATTATGTCAGCATAGTTTCTTTGTAAGGATAAAGAACAACGTACAGAGCTACAAAGCACTCTCCTCTATAGATGTATATGCAGACTTCAGCTCACACAGAGAATTTCAGCATGTGTCAACCCTGACACAAGGATAACTGCTTGCGAGAGTGAGGATAATTCAGTCTTTTGAAAGCCAAGCAACACCAATTGCAGTGGAGTCATCCTGAGAAGAGATTAGCCTGTCTACTGGAAAGCAGAATGAGTAAAATTTGCAAAATCTTTTCTGGGAACTTGAAAGAAAAAAAGAAAAAAAAAAAATGCAGTGTTATATGCCAGTGACATGTAGCTGTATTCCTCAGACCCATGGTACAGCAACAGTGTACCTTAATAACAAACATTTTTGCCAGTTAATAATCATTTTGTAACTCGTTTTCAAATGGCTGAAGAATAAATTCTCAATACTACTGTTGTTCTAAATGAGTATTTTGGAAGAAGGTCAGGTGGACATCAAAGGTCAGAACTAAGCCTAATAACAGCTTCTTATCAAAACAAATTCAAAATATCCAAAATGTGGGGCTGTTTTGTTTTTTTCAGGAGATAAAACTGAAGGAGAACAGCCAGTTTCAGAGGAATCTATGGCATTTACAGTTTTCCCATCTTCTGCACTTCCCAGACTGAAACAGCCAAACACCACAGGAGCCCTTGAAGGAGTAAGTAAAAACTGAGACAGAGAATTGTGGAAGCATTTTTAAAAGAAACGTTTGAAAAATGAGTTGGCAAATATAACTTTAAAACGAGTGGAAAAGACAGAGAGACCAGCAGTTTCACCAGCGCGCTACAGTTATGCCAAAAAAACAGAAGGAAAACCAACATTTTCAGTAGCTAAGATCAGAATTATTGCACTACCTGACAGAATAAACCCAAATAACATTTGGATCTTCTTGCAAACCATTTAAGATCCGTATCCAGCTGACTCTGCTGTTCCAACTATTCTTTTATTTAGGCAGAGAAAAAAAAGCTCTCAGTCATCCCAAGTCACTACAAAATCCTGCCTACAGACTCAGCAGAACATGAGACTAAAAACTTTCGCTGTCTGCCTGGTAAGCAAGAGAGAAATGTAACTCAAGAACAGAACCTTTCATGGCATAGGCTCCATTACACAAATGATAATGTGGAAACAAGCATGAATAATTTTATATACAACGGAAAACTGGGAGGAGTGGCTGACATGCCAGAGGGTTGCGTTGCCACCCAGAGGGACCTCGACAGGCTGGAGAAATGGGCTGACAGGAACCTCATGAAGTTCAACAAGGAGAGGTGCAAAGTCCTGCACCTGGAGAGGAACAACGCCAGGCACCAGTACATGCTGGGGTCCACTCAGCTGGAAAGCACCTTGGCAGAAAAGGACTCGGGGGTCCTGGCAGACACCAAGTTGAACAGGAGCCAGCAACGTGCCCTTGAAGCAAAGACAACAAACAGTATCCTGGGCTGTGTTAGACAAAAGTATTGCCAGCAGGTTGAGGGAGGTGATCCTTCCCCTCTGCTCATCAGTGGTAAGGCTACACCTGGAGTGCTGTGTCCAGTTCTTGGCTCCTCAGTAAAAGAGAGACATGGACATACTGGAGAGAGTCCAAAAGGCTACGAAGATTAAGGGACTTGATCATCTCTGCTGTGAGGAAAGTCTGAGAGAACTGGGACTATCCAGCCTGGAGAAGGGAAAGCTCAGGAGAATCTTATCAACATATATCGGGGTTGGTCTCTTCTTCCCGGTAACTAGCAATAGGACAAGAGGAAACGGTCTCAAGTTGTGCCAGGGCAGGTTCAGGCTGGATATTAGGAAGAACTTCTTCACTGTAAGAGTCGTTAGGCATTGGAACGGGCTCCCCAGGGAGGTGGTGGACTCATCATCCCTGGAGGTGTTCAAAAAACGTTTAGATGTGGCACTTCAAGACATGGTTTAGTGGGTTTAGCAGGCACGGTGTCATTGGGTATATGGTTGGGCCTGATGATCTTTGAGGTCTCTTCCAACCATAATGACTCTATGATTCTATATAAATACCTGAAGGGAGGGTGCAAAGAGGAGAACAGAGCCTGGCTCTTTTCAGTGGCGCCTGGTCACAGGACCAGAGGCCTGAAACACTGGAGGTTCCCTCTGAACATCAGGAAACGCTTTGTCACTCTGAGGGTGACAGCACTGCTACAGGCTGCCCAGGAAGGTTGTGGATCCTCCATCTTTGGAGATATTCAGAAGCTGCCTGGACATGGTCCTGGGCAGCCTGCTGCAGGTAGCCTTGCTTGAGCAGGTGGGGTTGGACCAGATGATCTCCACAGCTCCCTTCCAACATCAACCATTCTGTGGTTCTGTGTGATTCTGTGATTTTGTGAAAATGACACAGCTGCGCTGCATCTCGGGGAGTGGGAAGAGGGGGGAGGCAGGGGGAACCCACATGTACTTCACAGTAAAACTCACTTCTGATAATCATTCAGTCACCAAACAGTTAAAGGAAACACAAAAGAGCAAACTGATTATTAGCTAACTGAATATCTTCACCATAAGTACCATACTACTGCCCTCTGCTGTATTTTATTTCCTTATGTAATATAAAGTTGAAAATACGTTGAGAAATGCTGGGGTGGGTCTATATACTTGCAGAACCCTAATGTACTCTTCTGTTCCCTCTGAATTAATAATTAAAAGTAAAACATTCAGCAAGTTACTTTACTTTTTCTTCTACACCTGAGGAGATGAAATAATGAGTCAATCTTCAACAAATTCTTTAAAATTAAGGCTTTCTTAAGATAATAGCTCAAAACAAAAGTATATAAACTCAGAACTCAGACAATTGTTGTATGAAAACATGTATCATTTAAAGAATGGTGTTACAGAACCTGGGATATCTCCATCAGCATAGGACACAGAAACAAGAAAGTCACCCGGTAGATATAATTATATAAATGCAAGTTAAATAAAAATACAGGCTCAAGTTATCTATCACATCTAAGCTGATATTCAGTCAAGGACAGTTGTCAAACTCTAGCAATTATTACTAATATTGTTGATCCTGAAGTAGACAGGACAAGCGAACATTGGATGATGACCTGGTAATTCAAAAGGAGCTTCTCATGCAAAAAGAAAATGGACCTGTAAATTGGA